GAGTGAGTGAGAGTGAGTGAGAGTGAGAGTGAGTGAGAGTGAGAGAGAGAGGGGGGGGGGGGGGCAGTGGGGGTGGAGAACGAGGAGGGATCCCAGTGGACATGATAACAAACACAGCTACACCACTGATGCATTACCATCACCTGTCAAGCAACCAATACCATACTGTGGGCAAGTCCATGTAAAAAATTCTGTACGTAGGCCATAGCTCTAAGTTGGGCAAATTCAAATCCAGTCAGCATGACCGTCACTTGACAGCAGAATGAAGGCAGCCTACGGTGCGCCACGCCGAGGCCACATTGCTGGGATATCACAAAGTGCATACTCTTGCCACCAGATATAGCAAATCTGAGCACCACCTCAAACAATGATTACTATGACATTGGCAACAGGAACAACGACACACACAACGACAGAAGAACCAGCAGCAGCAGTAGCGACTGCGAAGACAATTTCCACGACAATAAAGACAACAACACCACAACCAGCAGCAGCAGCAACAGCAGCAGCAACAATCCAAACATAAACAGCAGCCACACGTCATAACGGCAAACTTCCTTGCGACCGACCTACATCGGGCCTGAACCGGGAGCAGAAGGTGTGATTCGGGAACTGAAACTGGCACTGCTGCTCCCGGCTATAGCGTTGCCCTGGCAACATGTAGTCATGGACAACAAGGCTATGGTGCTGCAGTGGACAATCTAGGATACACTGGGTCTCGTCAGTTCTGCATGTTAGCAACAAAAGCAACAAAATTGAACATGCACAAAAATGTCAGGTTTCAGGAGAAGAAACCTTGTTGTTGTTGTTGTTGTTGTTGTTGTTGTTGTTGTTGATTTTATTTTATTTCACAGTAACCAAACAAGCAGAGGAGCTCAATAACAAGGAAGCGAATGAAGATGCCAAGAAGCGCGAGGGGACTTAAAAGCAGAAAATATTCGATAATGGGGAATGGGTAAGTGGAATCTGGTCCGAGATGGACAATGAGAGCTCTGATACCGAGGGGCAACTAACTCCCAGCCAGGCATCGTCATAATCGTGTCGCCCTGGGCAACTGGAGACAAGGCGGTAACAACAGAGACGGACATGGTGTGTTTGGGCAGAATGCAAGTCACTGCAAGCAATTTGACAACATACGGACATGACTGATCACATGATCAGTGTGTGATGTCATCACCTACCCCAGAAAGCTGCGAAAGTAGGCCTTGCTGCAGTCGGAGAACTGCCAGAACTTCTTGGTGTTGGTGGCCGAGCCAACCATGACGTAGCCCTCGTCGGGCGAGCACACACTGCTATCGTGGTATGCGCCTAATCTGCACGGCGGAGTTAAAACGCCATTAGTGCGTGCACACACACACACACACACACACACACACACACACACACACGTACACACACATGCACACATGCATATAAACATATACACACATAAACACACACACACACATACACGCACACATACACACACACACACACACACACACACACACACACACACACACTTGCATGTACACCACGGAAGGTTGATGTAGATGAGTGGTTGGGCTAAATCCTGGCTGCCACACTGCATCCAATAGGGCTTGAAAGTGATGACGTCAAAACGGCCAGGGAGTAGTAAGTTGACATCAGATTTATATTTTTGGATCCACTAAAGTGTGACTTTGCTATTGCCCAAGTATGTGGGTGCATAGCAACCCACTCATGTCGCATGCAGGTGTGACTTTTATTTCGCCACCAGTTGTAACCCCGCCCCCAGTAGCCAAATCAGTCAGTTTCACTGGCTACATCACCATGCTGTGGGTAAGACCGCTTGAAATGTGCTTGGATCCATACAAAAACTGGATCCAAGTGGATCCAGTTTTCGAATTTTTGAAATTGTTGCTATGCTGTGACGTAGCACTTTCAAGCCCTATAGGAATTTAGGATAATATCAGGCATGCGAATAAACAAGAAAATCACTCATCGACATGAGTACATAATGAGTTCTACCCAACACACACGTCCTACTTGTGTTATAGTGCAACACCAAATCCGTAATAATGCTCCCCGCCGTTCAAACTCACACATGTCCCAGCTCATGAGCCATGACGACAGCGTTCTGTATACCGCGGTCGCGCACCACGGCAGCACTGGTCGTCGGGCTGCACAGGGACTGGATGTATGCACGGCCCAGCTCACCGCAACCGGCACGATTGTCAGCGGCACATAGGTCAAACCTGAACAGATGTGCGCACACACACGGAAATCATGTGACATGCAGCCTATTTAAACTGAGGCAAATCCGGCCCTGTGGCAAGCGTGCACATGACATCTCATTCTAATGTGCACGCATCACCAAACATCATCATGACATCATCATGACATCATCACCAAACATGTACACAAACGTGCACATAGACAGGCACATACAAGTTAGGACAAGCCGATAGACAGGCACGCACATGCACATACACATACATACGCACACATGTACAATCATGTACTTGTCTTTGCTCGCTACTAGAACTGGTGGGTCTCCGCGGGAGAGGGGAGAGAGATTCAAAAGGATTCTTGGAACACACGCACGCACGCACACACACACACACACACACACACACACAAAGACACACACAAACAGACAGACGGACAAAAAACAGACAAACAGACAGACACACACACCTTATCCCAAAGTCCCGACACACTCACCCGGTAAGCAGCATGGCGAAATCATGGTGTATGAAATTGCTATCCTGTACGGGATTAAGTCGCTGCTGAAATGTACCAAACTTGTCCAGAAGTGCGACGGAGTCATGACCAATCGGCATATTAGGCTAGAGATAATAACACAACACAATGCGAGAAGCACAGCAACACTTCGATATTGAATTTCCCACAAGTGCACTCCGCGCGCGCGCGCGCGCGCGCGCGTGTGTGTGTGTGTGTCCCATATGGTGCGGTGGTATGTGCAGTCGATTTCCAATCGAAAGGTTGCAGGTTCAAATCCCGACGATTATGGTCGCACACATCTTTCTTCTCTTTCTCATTCTTCTATCTCTTCTTTCATTCTCCTGGGTGGTAACCAACAGCCAGTGTATTCCAGAGTACGTGGTGTGTTGTGGTGTATGTGTGTGTGTCAAAAAAAGAATGAAAAATTGAAAAAAATGAAAATGAAAAATAGGGATTCACTGGCCAGAAAAAGCCACTTCAATCAGCTGTGTGGTGGATACCAGGCTAAACTTAGTGGCGGTCAAGGCGGGGAGGGGTATGGGGGCGGGGGAGGGTATGGGGTGGGGGGGGGGGGGTGTTGCCATGTCAACGCATGATCAGTGCGGGTTCCACCATCGGCGTTCACTCCCCTCGTGACTCACCTGGTGATCAGTAAGATAGATGATACGAGTCACGTGGAGGGTGATATCCAGCCCAGTGCTCTCCGGACTAAACACAGCCTGCATCTACAAACACCATTTTCAACAGCAACATTCACACATCCAAAACTCAGTCCGAGTCAGCGCTAAATTTCGACACACAGTGCAGCATGGTGACAAGGGAAAGGACCTGAGCACCCTGCTCACTATGTTGAGCTCATTGAGACAGGACGTGTCCAACACCTACTATCGCATAGATCGGAATTGACCATGGGCTGCCTGTTTACCTTTGCCTTCACGGTGGTGCGGTACGACAGGCTGTACCTGGTCACACGTGTCAGGTACTACATGCAATTAGTGCAATGTCGGTTTAAAACAATGGTTGCCGGCCTGGATGAAACACAGGTAAAGGCATTGCTGCTCAGTCCACCCGGTCCACGGCCGACAGCTTACCAGATTCATGAGAGTGAGCAGGTAGGTTTTCAAGGCGTCCTGGTCCCGGTCATGCTGCTCATACATGTAGGTGTCGACGACCAGCGCCGTCTCGATGTACATCGGCCCGTACTGGCTGTACACGTTTTTGCGCTTCGGATTGAACTTGGACCTGACTTCGTCCATGGCCGCGTAGAACGGGATGTAGTTGTACTGCGCTTCCCTATAGCCTGCAGAAGAGCATTGGATACAGTCACCATACGTTAACACTATGTCCGCTCCTTACGAATTGGGTTTTGAGCGTAGATTCAGGCCAGATTGGGTTGCCAGTTTTAGTAGAGCCCAGATTGAGCAGGAAAAGTCCAGATTGGGTTTGAAAAACCAAGGTTGAGTTTGAAACAGTCTAGATTGGTTTTTAAAAAGCCCAGACTGGGTTTAGAAAGCCTACATTGGGTTTTCTAGAATCCCAGAGTGGACCTTGAAAAAGCTCATAGCCCAATTGCTTCTGAACTCAACAGCACTCGGTGGGGGTGCGTTATGACTCACAAATCTATGCCGGCGCCACTTACATGGTACCCAGAGAGCGCCTCACCACAACCACTCGCTTGTGTGCATTTCTCTGGTGCCGTCACTGAACCTGGGCAGTCATGTGATGTGTATCGCCACAGTATGCAACCCGTGGACCAAACCTGTTCCGAATTGTCCGCATAATTTAAAAAAAGAGAAGCTATCTACAGTAATGAAGTCACGTGACCAATATTTAAAGCCAACTTCATCCATCATAGTTTGAAGTATGTGTTTTGTATGGTATGCGGGAAATGAGTGCGTGTAACACCAGACCATATCAACAAACTCATGCAACTACGTAAGCACACAACTACTTCCTGTGTGTACCTGTTGTGCACTGCACTCTGCCTATTACAGGCCATTGATCACTTTAGCAGGTTAAGGCACTGCCTCTGCAAAATAAAACTTCAAACAAACAAAAAACAAAAAACCTCACAACTGCCTTTCCTAGGTGTGTATATGTATATGGATAGCAACACTGACCTGCAGGATTCTTTCGTAGGCCGACGCCACAGTGTTTGCGATCCCCAGGCCCCGAGGTGTCAGAGTCGACTGAGCGCCGAACGACCATGTGCGTGTGCGAGTGCGCGTTAGCGCTGTGGTTGAGAAGGTACGGCGGTAACGGATGGATGAAGAAGGCGTCATCGGGGGAGAATATCGCACCCGTCTACAGTACAGATTGAATACGCATGCACAGTCCATGGCCATATGGTCCTAAAATGTAAACGCTTGTGCATAATACAGTCGTCCCTCTCTAATCCGGCGCCTTTTGCTACGGCATTTTCTGCTGGATTAACGAGGGTGCTGGATTAAGAAAGCCTGCCCTCTGACCCGGCCCTACCCAATTGCATGCATGTATCATACGTCAAAACGCAGGGTTTTTCCGTGTCGACCCCAGTATTTGGTGCACGGCTTTATATTCTCAACTTTTCTCCAGGAATATACACAGTGATAAAGTACAACAGAGAACATGTTCACATGTATACGTACTCTTGCACACACACGCACAGTCGATTTATGACTGCCGGATTATGAAATCAAACTACGTGCAGTTTGAGCGATTCGTTTCAAAAAGTCACTGCCGGAGGCGGAATTCAAGTGCCGGATTAAGATGTAGGAATTGAACGAAAAAAATCGGTTTCGTCAGAAAGTGCGCCGGTTGGCAAGGGTTCCGGATAAACAAGTGCCGGATTAGAGAGGGACGACTGTATATTCATTAGTTGAGGGAGTGGAAAAAGGTCTGAAGAAAAATTGACTGTCATCACCAGCTTGTACATGTAGTTGGACTTTTGCCTCCCCTCCCTAAATCAAACAAAGCAAATACAGTCGTGGTTTGAGGCACCAATACCCGGAGGCCAAGAACTCTAATGAACAAAAATGTAGTTTCACTACTTGCAGATACCCCATTCATGCAGGTAGACTACAACCAATTCCAGTCCCAGCATGCTCTTGTCACTTTTTTTATTAAAATGTGCTTCTGTAAATCAACAAAATGTGGCTGGCGAAAACTCTGGCCGATTTCAGAATAAATGTTTTGGCTGTCATTACACTGGCCCATGGCAGGGCTACCACTTGTTCTGATTATTCTTTCGTAAACACTCTAATTACGACAGATCGTTCGAACAAACCAACCGAACAGCTATTTCGCTATCTTAGTCGCATTTTGTTCAGAAAAGTGTCTTTTAAATCTGTTGCTTCAGGCCCTTGAAATCCTACAAAGGTGTTTGCTTCTAATGGGGTGCTGCCCCCTTATCCTGAGGGACTCTGCCCCTCGGCCCCTGGCCGGGGTCAACCCCTTCAGATTTCTACCAACAGAAGAATAGCAGCCCTGCGATTGAGATTTTCCTAAACGACGAATCAACTGCTTTGTTCCCTTTAAAATATGCAACCAGAGATATTTGTAAACTTAATTCTCATATTGCATCTGGTTTACCGCAAAAACACACGGAATCTGAATTATCCTCCAAATGGACTTCTGCTTACCATTCCCTTGCACGTACTAAAGGCTACGAGCGAGTCATTAGCACCGGTGATGTGTCCACGATAGTAGCAGTGCGTGGGCGCCATGATGGGCTGCCGATGGGTGACATTGCCCTCGGCTCCCATCAGCTCGATGACGGAGTGGTCGCTGAACATTGCGCTGCTCTCCTGCACCGCGACGTGGTAGTCGTTGTCGAATGCCGCCACCTTAAAGTATGCCTCGTCGGCGTACGGGGATGTGGAGCGGCGACGGCGACGACGATGACCAGCTTCCCGTAAGTCAAACGTGATGTGCTCGCCATCTACTGTCACCTCGCTCGGGTTGGTCGTATGGTACTCGTAGTCTGAGCCACAGAGTCGGGTAAACATCATGCATGAAAGAGACAGAGAGAGAACACAACTGAACATACATGTATGCCAATACCGGTGCACTTTAACACTCAACAGCTAGCGACACTTTTTCAGTGCCTCGTCAATCCAGTAGCTACATGGGACATCATCGCGGCATTACACTGTGGAATGATGAAGATTCGTGCAACTATGCACCAACAGACCTAGGCTCCTCTCAGTGTTTGGTTTCAAGCTCACTACAGCCCTGCGCGCATACACGTATGTATAATGAACAGTAAAGAAAAGTATACAAGGGAATACGTTATCTCCGGACAGCTATTTGACCTTGGTAGGTCTCATCAGCGGAGCTCAGAGTCAATGGCTGAACCTATCGCAATGAGATCCAGTGAACAAAGCATTTTTAAATTGGCTCAAAGCCAGAGTGCTCTGACGGCGAGAAACACAGCGAGCTTTGCGCGAGGGCAGATAACTTCCACGCTAGCAAGAAATAGTGCTCAAAGGGGAATCGAATACTAGAGCTGGAGATTCACAAAATCACAAATTCTCAATACCTTCTTCTTTGGATGTTCCAAAAAAGTTGTAAAGATGCTGGTCGGTCAGGAACTTGTGCAGGCCGTGACCCTGATGGGAGTAACAACAAACATGACAAGGAGACGAGCATAACTCCTGACTAGTTAGTTTTCATTTCCACAAAAAAAGCATGGTGAGCAATTGTAACACGGCCTATCATTCTGCGAGCTGCGTGTATTCTCCAGAACGGTAGAAATTCTAACAATAGAAGACATACACCTGCACATTCATAAAGCATTCACAACCCTCCATCATACCAAAACTGTCTTATAGCGGCTACATGATAATTATGGTAGCCACTTTGTGCTGTTTTCTTGCCTAGGAAGTTGGAACATAAGTATAGGACACGCCACTGGAAGTATTTAGTTCAGGCAGCAGAGGTAGACTAATGATCTTCTCATGTGGATAACATTGCTGCCATTGACTTTAATTTTCTATAAACATTTTAATATACCTTGGAGATTAAGACCATCAAGGACTGATATCTCTCCTTCCCCAACCTATAACCTAATCATTCTTTGATTAGTTTAGATGGAACAGGCACAGGCAGTTTAAGTCAGGACAAGAAATGTACCTCCCCCCCCCCCCCCCTCCCACCTCCCCACCCAGAGGACAGGAAATGTATGTATCATGGCGACTCCAGAACGACATCCCGGCTGATTGGCTGAATGCAGTCCACTAACGACGTACCGGAAAGCGTTCGTGTTCCGTCTCCAGTCCATGGCTCGGCGACACAACCGCACCAGCGAACAGCACAGAGAATACATGGACCCAGGAACACATCATTGCTATCAGCTGAAGGTTAGCAAGAGTGGGATGGAGAAACCGCCACCGGAGACGAAAGTTCTGCCAAAACAGCCACCGGAACGTTGAGGCAGGTAGCTTGGCCCAACTCCAAAGGCAATATGAATGAAAGAAGAGCTTGCTGTTTCTCTCACAACTGTTGGTGGTTGTAGAAGCTGCTCGTGTGAGATCCAAAAGTGAGTGTCCCACAGGACTATAATTATCATGCTGCTGTAACTATGAAGCACTGGACAGCAGCTAGGACAGGGTTGCCAGCCACTCAGCTGGCATCCCAGACTTCAATCTAGCTGCTGGCTGCCACCAATGCACCATGGCCTTCACTGGGTGACAATCACTGTCAGTTACTTGAACTAGGGGGACTGACAAGTGACAGCCTGTAAGGCTGTATTGCAGTGAATCGTGTGATACGCGGCGTCATCAGGGGGCACACAGGCATGGGACCGTTAGTGCCTAGTGGTCGTTACTACACACACAGACTCAGTGACTCTGCAGGCCCTCGACACTGCCACTGGGAAGTACACATGGTACAGGGGGCACCTGAGTGAGTTCAGCTTCCAGTTCCATCACCCGTCCACAACGGTCGCAGTACTACGAATCCATGAGCTTGATGATCCGTGATCGCTAAAGCCAAGCTGACTAGACCTGTTCCGAGCTCGGACAGCCAGAGCGGCAGAGGCCTAGCGCCACACGATGAGCAGCTCGGATTCAGACGACCGTATGCCAGTCAGCGTTGATTGACGGCATTCATGGCTAGGCTGGTGCTGCGAAACGGAACAAATGTCGTAATTATTTTAGATTTGCCCGGATTCCTTGGGCACAGCAAGCCAAGGAGGTAAACACCTACGCGCACCTTTATCATCACACCATGATGATGTCCATGGACTGATGTTATTACCGTACTGGGTTCGTAGGCTGAACTGGTTTTGCTCGGAAAGGGTAGCGCAGAGGTAGAACTCTGCACGCCGATGAGACAAACGCGTCTACACTAACTTACAGTCGTGTTACATCTCAGCACTCAGTGTTCGCACTGCGGCTTCTTGCAAGTATGAAAAGGTGATAATTATGCTTCCATCAAGACAAGTGTGCACAAAATGAAATGTCTATGGACTATTGCTTCCATTCACAAAGGTCTAACTCTAAGGTTAGTAAGGAACAGTGCAGCATGCAGTGCGTTAGTTTCCACAAATCCCGAGCAGAAAATCTGAGTCCAATGACATGCATGTTTCACCTAGAACCAGGCAAGATTCTTGCGTTCCCGAAGTCGCGAATAACGACACTCGAACGGACAGGCTGAATCATGAATGTTTGCGTGTTACAGCTCTGCTGTACTACTACTAGGATCAGGAGTCTAGGACTGAAGCTAGTGAGATGTTGATACCGGTAACCTACTGAGTCAGTCTGTATCTCACTTCTCAGGACTGAAGTTGTTGCTATTTGCGAGGTGGTTGACCATGTTGACTGTAGTCGTGTAGAACGATAATATGAAGCCAAAAAATTACCAGCCAGCAGGGCGATATCTTTCAACCAACGCTCACTCGCTCAGCATTTCAAGCTGTGGATGAGAAAGCAAGTTGCAAACTACCGTAGTAAACCTTGACCATTTTTGGGTCGTGTAACGCGTGTTTTTGCTTTTGCTCTTTCATGGTTTCACACTATTGGCGTTGTGAAATCCGTTCTCAAGTAAACCGTGACTGTCCGCCAGCAGTTCAGGTTCCCTGCTTGAGCGTCGTCTTCCGAGTGTACTTCCTTCTCCGCCTTCATCACCACACGACTCACAACTGACACAAGCAGACATCATCCAACTAAATCCAAGAAGGAGGCTAGGCTGTCAAGCTCACCAGTTACCTGGGTTTCGGATGCGTGGTTTCCATGGGAAGACGGAGCACAGAGCAGGGAGTAGTATTAATTTTTATTACTCCCTGGTACATAAATGCAGAGCTCCAAGTCTACATTTTAGTACTCCCTGGTTGCGTCACTCTTCAGTGTTTTTTTTTGCGTTGCGCAATGCATGCACAGCGCACCGATGCATGAGTTCAAGCAAAAATGGCACAAGCGACCGCATGGGCCATGGGATCGATCGATCATGCACTCGTGAGCGTGAAAAAGCAAAAGTTTGTGTTGGCAGCTTTTGCATTTTGTTTTGAGTTTCCCTGCATGTTGCTGAACTTCGAATAGAGAAGCAAGATGAACAGGATTGCCGCTGCTGGCGCTGCCGGCGTTGCTGGTCTTGTGGGACTTGGAATAGCTGGCTCAAGCTGCTTTTATTCAGGTACAATCCGTGTGTGGAGGTTACTGTCGCCCGGATTTCTCTCAATAGAAATTCATAATTTTTTTGCTCGCAGTTGAGGGTGGTCACCGTGCCATCATTTTCAGTCGTGTTGGAGGAACCAAGGAAAATGTATACGCCGAAGGACTCCACTTCAAGTACGTAGGCGTATGCTCACCTTCAGGTTCATTGTGTGTGTTGTCTGTCCGTACGGATAATGACCGGAGGTGACATAATCTCATCGTGATCGCTCTATCATAAATAAGTGTCCTGGTGAAAGATTGGCCCGTAGGAAGATCTTCCGAGATTTGGGGAATAAGCTGCACTAAGCATCCATTGAAATGAAGTAATGTTATTATACTCTCTGTTGAATTTGCCTATGTTTGGAGTTCATAATACCAATATCACCACTACCACCTCCACCACAGTCTTATGTTGCAATTCAAGAACTATATCTCTCCAAATGTTAGCCCCTGGGGGCTTCATCAGGGAAGCCCGGGGGGGGGGGGGGGGGGGGAGTATTGGTGTTCAATCTTATCAAATTGACGCACTTATCAAAGTATCTCTTCACTTCATGGATATTTTTGTTGGCTGGTCGATGTGGACATCAGTTGTTCAATGGAACCTCACCAAAGTGGGCATCCATGGGACTGGGCAAACATGTACTTGCACTCTTTTGTGAGGTATCCTGGCTATTGAAACCTGGTCTGATGTGATCTTTACCGACACGCATATCAATTATTGATGAAGACCCAGGGCGGTACCGGTGGATATCTGCACGAGCCTGCTCCTGCCATGAATGCGGATACTACATAAATGCAGACGCCTTTGTGATACTGGGTCTACCCGAGGACAAGCTCCATACTCTATTTGATCGCCTGCCAACCTTTGATCTCCTTATGAACTTCGCTAATAACGACTGCGGATATAACGACAATTCGCGAATAACGACAGAATTTCCATGCCCAGAGCAAAGTCCCATCTAACGGCAACACGTATAATGAGACTTCGGGTATAACGACACTTCGCGAATAACGACACTGTTCTGGTACCCCGCCAAGTGTCGTTATACGCACAGTTGACTGTGCATTCAGAACATTGCTGGGCGTGCCAGTGTTTGATATTGGTTAGGTTCTGCTCTATGTGAATGGAAGTGCAGCATGAAGACCTGAGTACTTGCATATTTTGGGCTTCACACGTCGCGAAGAAGATGTTTTGGTCTACATTCAGAATTTCACACGAAAAAAGCATACCACTTTTTAAAGTGGGAGCTGGAAAATTCAGATACCAAATCTGATAGTTTTCTGACAGACTGCTGCCATATTTGAGTGATGCCCATCAGATCATTATGCATTTTCTGTGCGTGCGCCGCATCATAACATGAAGATCCTCATCTCCGCGTAGAAATCTGAACCCCAAACTTTAGCATTATCGATGGAACCCTTTCAAATGGTGTCAATCTGCGCGGTATCGGGTTTGACCGAGTGCACATGTACTCTAGCGATGTGGCCAAGTAGAAGTGCAGCTAGGAATGTACACATTCACACAACTACAAGTAGTTGGAATTCAATTTTGGCTTCACAACAGGCGCTGCACATGTGTGTATCTAGGTCATTCGGCCCAAATATGCGCATGATGATGGTCAAAATTGTGTGTGTGTGTTGGGGAGGGGGGGCGGGTGCACATGCGCACACATTTCCATGCAAGCCACACACATCTAAATGTAAATTTACTACATTTCCAATTGTGATCTTGCTGTTGCTTTTCACTAGGTGGCCGTGGCTTCAGTGGCCCATCATCTACGACATCAGGGAGAGACCCAGAAAGATCTCCTCACCAACTGGTACAAAAGGTGGGTTTCCTGTGCTCAAGCGTTCTATGGCCACCCAGAATTAACTCGTTGTTTCGGGTCACCCGACCGCAAAATGGTTTTTTTTGATTGTGCATGCAAATGTATGTACATGACTAGGCTATGTACACACGCGACCCTAAAATAATAGCAGTGACTGAGTCCAGACGTCGATCTCAGAGTCAGAAGCAGCCAAATGACAGGCTGCAGCGCTTGGTGACGGCGTTGTATATTCTCCAATCCGCGATCGGTCCTGAAACAACATCAGCTCCGCCACTGTGTCGCTCATTGACAGAGGTTTTGGTGAGAGCTGCTCGTCAGACTCGTTTGCTAGCGAGGTCAAGATCTGGCCCTGGAGCTAGCTGGGGACCTAGATCTGAAGGCGCTGGATTGTCTAGATTTGATCGACTGGCTTGATGGACAAAAGCTATTCGATAATTATTATGTATGCACGTGGCCATATAGCGCGCATGGCACAACCAAAATAAAAAATATAATAAAATAGACCCGACCGACCGACCCTGGTACGGATGAGTGAAGTGACCCGAAACAACGAATTAATTCTAGGTGGCCTATTCTGTTTTGTTTTTTTGTGTAAACACCGCATGGCGACTCCTTGCGTTTTACCACCGTTTCCTGTGCAATTGCTGTGTTGAATCGGACCTTACGTAAAGGAACTCCAGGTACTGCTGTAGTGATTTGAACCATTGGTACTGTATGAATAGCATCAAGGCCCGTCCACATCCGCATGCTTGTTTCTAGCGAAACTCGCGCTGCCAACGCCTTTGGTGATTCTGTGAAAGGCGCGCGTGTGTGTGTGTGTGTGTGTGTGTGTGTGTGTGTGTGTGTGTGTGTGTGTGTTCGCGCACGCTCGCTCGCGTGGGCGTGTGTGCATGTTGGAGCTTGATGGTGCGCTCACTTGCTTTGTTCAATAGTTCAACGTGTAAGCATTGCTAAGCAACATTTCGCTTTGTTTTGCTTGTTTGCTGCTTACACAGATCTTCAGATGGTGAACATCTCCCTTCGTATCCTCTTCCGTCCCCAGCAGCACAACCTTCCAGACATGTTCAGATCGTATGGTACAGACTACGATGAGAGAGTTCTTCCCTCCGTTGCCAACGAGGTGAGAAGTGTTTACTACTTACGTGTGTTGTTTCTTTCCTGCTTCCTCCTATGGATTCAGATCCTGACCCATCGATCTTGTGGACATGGGCTTTACTTTGGGCATTGCCACTCCGACCCCCTCTCTTCCGGACCCGTCAGTCTTGTGGACATGCAGGGCTTTGCTTTGGGCACCCCCCCCCCCCCCCCCCCCCCCCCCCCACACACACTTGCTTTTCATGACATACGTTTGCGTAGATAGTCACTGATCTTGACCTAGCGCATACTGCAGTGTACCGGGTAGTTTCCTCGTCTATGTGCGCTATGTTTAAATTGTACTTCGTTTGTGTCACTGGCGAGCTGGTTATCCATCGCATTGCCCATAGCGTGCCAAATGCCCACAGGCTGCACGTTTCCCCTCGTAGTTGCTGCTGCTCCACAGTTCTTGCATAATGCGTCTAATGATGTTTGGTCTGCTGTGTGTGCGTGTGTGTGCGTGCCTGTTGTGCTCTAGGTTCTGAAGAGTGTCGTGGCTCAGTTCAATGCTTCGCAGTTGATCACCCAGAGAGCAAAGGTTAGTAGCTCAGCTGGCAGTAGTGGCAAAGTGGCAGCTAGTGTCCCATCGGCATCCGTCCATCATGAGTCTCTCTACACCTGGTTGCGTGTTAATCTCCCAGTGCTCTGGTGCCGCAATCTCTAACTCCGTGCTAGTTGCCTTGAGTGCATTTTTCTCGTTGTGGTGAATGCTCGTGGAAGAAATTGATCCGGGGAAACCAGAGAAACAGCTTGTTTGCACACACCGAATTTATTGCCAATTCCGTCGTCTTCGTTTTGCTGTGCCTTTCATTCAATCCAGGTCAGCGCTCTTGTTCGTCAGGGTCTCGTACAGCGCTCCAACGACTTCTTCATCGACGTTGTGGACGTCTCCATTGTACGTCCGTGTGCTGTGCCTGTGTTTCTCCTTGTTGGCGGGCGTGTGTACCTTGCGTTCCCTGCTTGCGTTGGGCATGTGATAGTGCTAGTTTTTTTCTCTGTGGCGTGTGGTCTCTGTACGAGAAGGGGGGCGGGGGGGGGGGGGGGGTAGAGAGAGGGGAAATCAGTAAGCGGGGGGGGGGGGGGGGGGGGGCGAGATCAGCAAGGCCTAATGCGGCGAATGCATTTTTGCGCGTGGGGAATACATGTATGCGTGTAAGGGGAAGTGTAGGTGTGTGTACAGCAGGAGGTTGGTCAGACCAGGTGTTGTGAGATGTGACTGATCCATCCACACGATAGGTATCATGTTGTTACACCACAACACTGTAAAAAGATCTGTTCCCAATAATTATAATGTACTTTCTGTAGGAGTCAAATTCATTAGAAGTCCTAGATTATAACCGATGGTAAACCTGGCATTGTTCTTGCCTCTGCTAGCTAGCAAAATTCTCTTCCTTCCCTGATAGCTGTGAGTGTGGTGTGATGTGTTTTTTTCTCAGACCGACTTGACCTTCAGTGGCGAATACACGGCTGCTGTTGAAGCCAAACAAGTTGGTGAGTGGGATTGAGCAATCGCATGATGAGCAGTCTGATACGTTCGTTTGACCAGTTTCTGGTGGTGTTGTTCGTCCTGCTTGCACTCAATCTGTGCGGATATAAAGTGCATGTAGCAGATTTTCGAGTTTGTTTAGATGCCTTCCGGTCCTTGTCTCACCGGTATACTCTAATTTCAGAAATTTTCGCTGCTCAATATTTTCGGTATGAGGGCAACAGGCCAGGTTAGGTGAACAGAAATTTTCGGTACAGAGAAGCAGTTCCCTATTGGATTACGTGTGTTAGTGTTTGTTCGGTGTATTGAAATTTTAGGTATGAAACAGACGCACCGAAAGTACCGAAAATAAAAGTACACCGAAAATTTGTGAAATTACAGTAATCTATTTATGCACACTTCAAAATTAGCCACACAAGTAAAACACTGTAAAACATGTCATTTTCGGTGATTTCGGTAGAGAAACCAGGCACCTAAATTTAAATTACACCTAAAAGGCACTAGAGTATGCACTGTATGTGAAGGGAATGCCGGTCACCTAATTCTACATTACACCTGAAACCTGGCAGGTCCCTGGCACCGAAATTTTAATGCACCTAAAATTACATGTTTTACAGTAATCAGTAGTGACAACATGTTACTAGTGGGTGAAGTTCAGATATCATTGGTATACATGGTATTTGTTTGTTCACTGTGCTGCCATGCCAATACAGCCCAGCAGGAGGCACAGCGCGCCACTTTCATCGTTGAAAAGGCTAAGCAGGGACCGGCAGCACAAGGTCGTACAGGCCGAGGGAGAAGCTGAGGCTGCCACTATGATATCCTCTTTTGCACGTTGCGTGTGCCTTGCTTGTTTTGCTCTTGTTCACTTCACTCATTTGCTATTCGAACACTGTGATTGGGTTGAGAGTCTTGTTTGTCAACTCTGCGAGAAAGGCTAGCACATGCTCTCTCTCTCTCTCTCTCTCTCTCTCTCTCTCTCTCTCTCTCTCTCTCTCTCTCTCTCTCTCTCTCTCTCTCTCTCTCTCTCTCTCTCTCACACTCACTCACTCACATACACACACCTCCCTCCCTCTCCATTACTGTTAGCGTATGAGCATTGTTTGCCTTGACTGAAGTTGTTCTGTGCACTTGGGTAAGGCCATGCGTGACAATCCCGGCTACCTGAAGCTCAGAAGAATCCGCGCTGCACAAGCAATCTCAAAATCTGTAAGTCCAACATTCGCCACTCTGTCATTGTTTTTGGGGGGGGGGGGGGGTCCACATCTCCCTTCCCTGTGTGAGAAAGTGGGTGTTATGATCACGGTGGACTCTTACATGATGAAAAGTTGAACTGCCATGCGTTTGAACTGTTTGTTGCTCAGCCCCTGTTCTCGCAAAGCATACAGCACTTGTGCAATTTACACTGCGCGCCATGTTTGCCTTGTCGTGTTGTAGACGAGGGTAGCCAGCAGTTGGGTGTTGCTACCCTCGTCCTAGGAAGGGTTTGATGCATGCTAACCGTGTACCTATGTACTGCCTCATCACATCTGTGTTCGTACAGATTTCCGAATCCCGCAACCGTGTATACCTCGACAGCGATGGCCTCCTCCTTGGCCTGACAGGCGGTGAAGAGATGTAAGTTTCTACTCCTATGTTCTAGCATTTACGTGCACAGTAAAACTTCCCAGATCTGGACGTCCCTAATCCGGGCACGTCCGTCTATTGGGCACCTTTCTGACCCATCTAGAGTCACAGAAAATGGCTTTTCAATGAAAAACTGCCCCGAAACAGTCATCTTGATTGGCATAAAAATCTTACTGCAGTAAACACTTGAGAGTTTTTGAGTTATGGGCAATTCCTAGTTACGGGCAGTGCTCTGTCCCAGCCTGCACGGATCTGGGCAGTTTTACTGTAGATCCTTCAGTGTAGGGAACCAGGGATCCGTGTACTATTATCATAGCTTCATGCTACGGTGCCTTATAGGCCATTCACACGACGTGCAAGAATTTCCATGCCCAGAGCAAAGTCCCTTCTACCTGTATACATATAATGAGACTTCGGGTATAAGGACACTTCGCGAATAAGGACACCTTTCTGATGCCCCGCCGAGTGTCGTTATAAGCGAAGCTGACTGTATTTGTGATTAGATAGATGCAATGGCTGCGGTGTATCTTAGAACCTGCATACCCTGCAATTAGTGGCAGAATATGTGTATAGGTTTAAAAAAAGAAAAAAGAAGAGCTGTTCAGGACAGTGACCAAGTAGGAACTGTACATGATTGTATAGCAAAACCGCTAAAGGATCACCTACTCCTTACAGAATGCACTGCAGTGGTCAATGATTCTTTGGCCAACGCATCTGCATTGTGTACTTGGCTCTCATCGCACGTTTTCTGTTGAAGTTTATGTAGGTTGACTTTGTTCTCATTGCCATGTCGTTTGACTTCTTGACGCACTGTGTTGTTTCCTTCTCTCCTCTTTCATCTGCAGGGCCGAGAAGGTGAAGTCATCTCGACGATGAGCGGCAAAACGTTTGTTTTTTAAATTCTTCCATGACGACTTCATCCTGCCTTGCTTGCCGTTCGGCTCGCTGTTTCAAGTTCTTTTCAGTTGAGGTTGTGTAGACGACAGTAGGAGAGTGATCGTGCTGGACTCTGTACTGTTGTCATGTACCGACATTTAGTTAACAGCTTACTTGGACCCTCGCGTTGTGTACCAACATTTAGTTAACAACTTGCCTGGACGTGCCATTGTTGTGTTGGCAGTGGTGTCCGCTCCTTTTCATGATCTGGCTCAGTTGCCTGCACGGCATAATTATAATGATGCTTGCACATGCATCCTAAACCGTGATATGCTCACCGTGGCCTGGCTTAATGTAGTGTGTGTGTGTGTGTGTGTGTGTGTGTGTGTGTGTGTGTGTGTGTGTGTGTGTGTGTGTTGGGATTCACTGGCCAAAAAAGCCACTTCATAGCTGTGTGGTGTAGACCTGGCTGAATAGTGGCGGTCAATTCTTCAGCCTTGCAAGCTGTTGAACGGTGCAATCCCAGCACTGCTATGGCTTCTGCTGTAGCATCGCTATCATCGCCTCTGGCGATGGGCGTCAAATGGTCCAAATGGTGTGTGTGTTGGGGGGGGGGGGGGGGGGACAAGGTGTAGCCAGCCTGAAACCGAAGGGGATAGTTCATTCCGCTTGTACAGGGGGGCCAGATCTGCATCGCTTCAAACACGGTGTTTGCTATACAAGTGCATAGCAGGTGTTCAGTGTGTTTCCATTCTGATTTACCAAGAGTACTGTACATACAGTAGAGTTGTGCGTCCGCGGTCCAAGAACGTTGTTTCCAAGGGGTTAGCCAGCTGCCTGGGACGTTCTTGTTTTTCAGAAACCTGGCTGCGTTCTTATTGAACATTCTCGGAAACAATTCGCCGTGCGCTACTCTACTGTATGTACTGGTGTTAATACAATTTGTGGGACGGGGAGAAAAGTGGCACGCATTTCATTAGCTTACTCAAGCCCTAGCCCTCCCCTCGGCTTGGGCCCTCTCACCTCGTATTCTCCATTGCCATTAGCATTGACCGCTGTTGATAGATCCTTGGAAATGACTTGTCTTGACTCGAGTTGACTCTGATCATCAAGACTAGAGTACATGAAAACCGGTTTTCATGTGCCATCATGCCATGATGTGGTGCACGTGAGCGTGATTTCGAGTAACCATGGTGATGGTGTTGCGCAACGACCTCAGCTCCCCGGATATCCCGGATATATCGTGCACGCGCACGATCGATCCATGATCCAGCGCTACATATGCATGCAGTCGCAAGATTTCGTAAAAATTCACGAAAGCGAAGCCGGTTCGATCGATGATGCATGATCAAAGCTAGCCGTGTGATCTGTGAACGAACAATACTGACCAGCGAGACGACCCAATTTGGTTGTATTCCTTGTGTCGGTTCATCTTCTTGTCTGGCACGACTACTGCGTGCTTGGGTGAGAGTAGCCATGTATCATTGTAGGGGAGCGCTGAGGCTTACTGCCACTGCGGCCTGCAGACTTGGCCAACCCAGTCAGACAAGGGCAACAGGCAGCTGTAATCTTGAGGTTGACCAGGGTAAGTATTTATGATGCTGTAGTAACAGGCTGCCGGCGCTATGATAGTGAAACGCTTACGCGACGGGCTGATTTGCGGTGTGGATTTCAGGTTTTGCTCGTGGACTGGGCCATCAACAAGCTCGATCCTTTCATATCTCAGGTAAAGTAATAGAAATAATGTAATAAATATGCTGTTTTTAATACTTTTTATATCCATAAGTCTGAGGGGCTGAAAAGACGCACACACACACACACACCACACACACACACACACACACACACACACACACACACACACACACACACACACACACACACACACACACACACACACACACACACGTTGACCTTGACCTTGACCATGAATGCTCGTATGCAAGTGCACATGATAGCAATGGCTGCTCTTCTGTCGTGAAATTTGGAGAAAATGGCGTTGCGCTTGAGATCACAGGAACAAATAGACGTTTGGAGACTGCAAGAAACGAGGCTATGGAATACGCTGAGGTGGATAATTGCCTGATTTTTCCTGATGTGACCAAGTGCTGACCACCACGCCTGGAATTCTTGCACAGTCCAGCGCCACTCCGATGGTGAGAGTTCGGTTGCAGCCACTTCTGCTGTTGCGCCGTTCCGCCGTCGCTTTCAAGGCTGTTCCCCAAATCTAGCGGGAAGCAGTGCTCCACACAACCGCTACTTCGGCCATTGGCCGCCATCCATTCGATCGCAAGTGGTCTCAATGGAAAAAAAAAGACCACTGATGTTGTAATCTAAGCCACCGTGCACTACGATGTCATATGTACAGTGCTGCCAAATAATTTTTGCCCAAAATCGGACACCCGGTACCCGTCACCGCCAAGGCGCTAGGCTAGCTAGGCTGGCCACATGGTGCGAGTTTTTCTCTTTTTCTCTTTGGCAATTTTTCCAGAGAGCGTGTGTGGGCAGGCGTGTGTTTACCGCCATATTGCCAGGTGTGTCTTTACCACCATATTTATGAGAATTCAAAATATCGCACAAAATACCATGAAAAATCGCTCCGTTGCCATGGTAACCGGTATGGCACCCCCCAAGTTGTCATGAATTTTGTAATGAATGCATGAGTGTGGTCACACATTGCACTGTACAGTGTACAATCATGTACCCAGGCATGTTACTCAACTCTCGAGTTTGCACTTCCACACTCCACAGCCGGCCAAGCGCTAGCCCTTTTTCATGTACATGTACATGACTACAGTACTACCGGTAGTACCGTAAAATCCCGCCAGAGCGCCCCGTCTCTCCCATCCGCCCCCCCCCCCCCCCCTGACTTCTTGTCAGGGACGTGATTGATTGTATCCTCGTATGACTCTGTCGCAGTCTGTGATGCCGTACTGCACTGCAGACGCGTGCTCGACCCCGTTGGAAATGTACGCAACAGTGCCCACCCTCCTGACCAGGGATCGCACAAACCCTGCGTTTTGTCGGGTCTGTTCGTCTCCTGGCTCTTGACCCTTGGTCGGTGTACGAGATGCACGAACAGTTTTCGTAGGGTGAGTACTTTTGCATGTAGCACTGAATGCGGCAAGTAGGACTCGCCCATCCGCCCCTCCCCACCTGAAGCGTCGAGGAGGTAGGGGCGCTCTGGCGGGATTTTACGGTACAGTGATTTGTGCCTTCAGTTGCGCTGAAAAGTGAAAATACAGGACTTCTGCATCGGAAAGTACTGATCCCTGATAATTTTGGCTGCTTTTCGGACGTTTCCTTTTTCGGACCGGTTTTCGGAAGAGCCTTCAAAAATCGGACACTGTCCGAAAATCGGACGGTTTGGCAGCACTGTATGTATCTTCCTCTGTTTCATGTTGGTGGTGCCCTAGATAGACTGGATATTGGTGCACCGTGTTGAGCTGAGAGACGTGTTCAGCTTTTACTGGCCACGTGCAAGCACCATATGCAGAAGAGTAGGAGTAATGACAGTGCAATGCACAATACTGAAATCAGCGATAGAGACAGAGACAGATGGACGGAGAGAAGGAGAGAGAGAGAGAGAGAGAAAGAGAGAGAGAGAGGGGGGGGGGGGTGAGGACTTCTGGCTGCACCCGTCTTAAAAAACACAACATTGATCACCAGGACTATTGTGCCCTCTTCCTGGCGTGGAGTTGTCCCGTGGATATCGTGTGCCTGCATTGGCTACCAGTGGAGTGCTGCTGTGTAGCCATTCTTTGGAGCACAGCCAAAGGCGTGTGTTTACATGTCCTCGGCCCGCTCCCTCTCTCTATCTCTAGCTCTATCTCTCTGATTTAGTTCCTCTTCCACTTCTGTCGTGCGTTTACAGTTCCCAGATTTGCCAAGAAGAACTTCTACGATATCCTCGGCATTGGCAAAACAGCGAGTCAGTCGGAAATCAAGAAGGCCTACTACAAACTAGCCAAGGAGCATCACCCTGATGCGAATCGCAGCAATCCGGATGCCTCCAAGAAGTTTGCGGAGATTGCCGAGGCGTACGAAGCTCTCGGCAACGAAGAGAAGCGCCGCGATTATGACAGCGGTGGTGGGGAGTATGGGAGTGGTGGTGGTGCCGGTGGTGCACAGTATCATCAGAACGCCCAGGACATCTTCCGCCGCTTCCACGAGCAGTTCGCCGGCGGTATGGGCGGCGGTGGTGTTGGCGGCATGGGAGGCTTCGAGTCCTCCGATCAGGTAAGCCAAAAACACGTATGTCTTTCGTGACTGGATGATAGCTTCGCAACTCTCCGTGCTCTTGACAAAGGCTCCTACCGCCATATTAGTGCTTGTAGCTGTTTTCAATACACAGCATCTGTTTAGTTAGGATTGCTCCTGGGATCTTGTAGTGATACCAAACTGATACTGTTTACTGCGACCCGGCTGTGAAACACAGATTTATATGGCCTGTGAAAGTATGCTACATTGTATACTAAAGTTTCACTGTACTTTGATGTATTCAGAGCCTGTCTTCATGCTGTGTGTGTGTTCCCATCTGGCTAGGTGCTGCAAATCCGCCTGTCGTTCCTCGACGCCGCCCTGGGCTGCAGCAAGAGCGTATCGATAAAGCACGACGAGATGTGCAGGCGCTGCAAGGGCCAGAGAGCCGAGCCCGGCACCAAGAACGTCAAGTGCACAACGTGCAAGGGCACGGGAGAGGTGCGTTATCCCCATTATCACTCCAGTTTGTGTACAGTGGTGTGGGTGTGTAGCCCATCGCTGTGTTGCTGTTTTTGTTGTTGCCTTGGGTAAGGGTGAGGGTGCAATGCTATTGCTATGCAACATGATTCCTGGATGATCTTGGCTTACTCGGTGTTTCTCTCCGTCCATCTCTAGGTGATGCACACAATCTCCTTCTTCCAGATGCGCGACACGTGCCACGCATGCAAGGGCTCTGGCAACATCTACCAGACGGCATGCACCAGCTGCCACGGCAAGGGCCGCACATCGCAGAGCAAGACACTCAAGGTGCCGATACCGGCCGGCGTGGAAGACGGCCAGACCGTACGCATGCAGGCACCGGACGGAAACGGCACAGTCCTCATCAACATCCAGGTAGGGGTCGCATATCTCCGTCGGCAAATATTGTGACCCAGTTTCTTTTCACCTCTAATCCCGTAAATCAAGCCATTTCGGTTGACCCCTTAGGTGTTCGAATTCCCAAGGTTTTATTATATCACCTCACGACGTATATCTTCTGGGTGTGGCGTTTTGTTCATCTCACTTCTAACTTGAAAGCCATGCAATCCACATTGAATTCCTTCCTGCCCCAGTGCTTACATTTATTTATCCATACTGCTGTTTTGGATTTTTTTAAAGGAAGTACAAAATTTTGCGAGTTGTGACTGATTCCGAGTTCTATAATATTATTGCTTTTTTGCCAAATCATGTGTGCTGCCCAGGTCGACCCCAGTACCGAGTTTGTCCGCGAAGGCTTTGACCTGCACTCGGATGCTGCAGTGCCTGTCTGCACAGTAAGTCGTGTGCGAGTGTGTGCTGTGGAGCTTCAATAGCATATCCCCAATGAACATAATATCAGTGCTTTGTAGCCGAGATTTTTTCTTCATCAACCACCACTCCATAACTGCGCTCCCCAGCCGCTTTTTAGCCGGGAGGCTGTGTATAAGTCACCACCCATTGAACTGGATTGCATTGAGACCCCAGCACAACCATAGCACCGAATTCACATCTGTACGGCAAGCGTGGAGTGCAGTGTTTCCACGCACTGTCGCGTGGCTCGCGTGTAGTCAGCGCAATACAGTCACCGCACCAGCAAATAGCCGCCATAGGTACTACATAGTCAAAATAGGCAAGATGACGGCTGTAAGGTTGCCAGTGGCACAAAGTCATCACACCACACATGTGCTAGCACAAAGTCACCGCGCCACAGATGTGCGAGCACAAAGTCACCGCGCCACAGATGTGCGAGCACAAAGTCACCGCGCCACAGATGTGCGAGCACAAAGTCACCGCGCCACAGATGTGCGAGCACAAAGTCACCACGCCACAGATGTGCTAGCACAAAGTCACCGCGCCACAGATGTGCGAGCACAAAGTCACCGCGCCACAGATGTGCGAGCACAAAGTCACCGCGCCACAGATGTGCGAGCACAAAGTCACCGCGCCACAGATGTGCGAGCACAAAGTCACCGCGCCACAGATGTGCGAGCACAAAGTCACCACGCCACAGATGTGCGAGCACAAAGTCACCACGCCACAGATGTGCGAGCACAAAGTCACCGCGCCACAGATGTGCGAGCACAAAGTCACCACGCCACAGATGTGCGAGCACAAAGTCACCACGCCACAGATGTGCGAGCACAAAGTCACCACGCCACAGATGTGCGAGCACAAAGTCACCACGCCACAGATGTGCGAGCACAAAGTCACCACGCCACAGATGTGCGAGCACAAAGTCACCGCGCCACAGATGTGCGAGCACAAAGTCACCACACCACAGATGTGCTAGCACAAAGTCACCACGCCACAGATGTGCGAGCACAAAGTCACCGCGCCACAGATGTGCGAGCACAAAGTCACCACGCCACAGATGTGCTAGCACAAAGTCACCACGCCACAGATGTGCTAGCACAAAGTCACCACGCCACAGATGTGCTAGCACAAAGTCACCACGCCACAGATGTGCTAGCACAAAGTCACCACGCCACAGATGTGCTAGCACAAAGTCACCACGCCACAAATGTGCTAGCACAAAGTCACCACGCCACAGATGTGCTAGCACAAAGTCACCACGCCACAGATGTGCTAGCACAAAGTCACCACGCCACAGATGTGCTAGCACAAAGTCACCACGCCACAGATGTGCTAGCACAAAGTCACCACGCCACAGATGTGCTAGCACAAAGTCACCACGCCACAGATGTGCTAGCACAAAGTCACCACGCCACAGATGTGCTAGCACAAAGTCACCGCGCCACAGATGTGCTAGCACAAAGTCACCACGCCACAGATGTGCTAGCACAAAGTCACCGCGCCACAGATGTGCTAGCACAAAGTCACCGCGCCACAGATGTGCAAGCACAAAGTCACCGCGCCACAGATGTGCTGGCACAAAGTCACCGCGCCACAGATGTGCAAGCACAAAGTCACCGCGCCACAGATGTGCTAGCACAAAGTCACCGCGCCACAGATGTGCTAGCACAAAGTCACCGCGCCACAGATGCGCTAGCACAAAGTCACCGCGCCAAACATGTGCTAGCACAAAGTCACCGCGCCACAGATGTGCTAGCACAAAGTCACCACGCCACAGATGTGCTAGCACAAAGTCACCGCGCCACAGATGTGCTAGCACAAAGTCACCGCGCCACAGATGTGCTAGCACAAAGTCACCGCGCCACAGATGTGCTAGCACAAAGTCACCGCGCCACAGATGTGCTAGCACAAAGTCACCGCGCCACAGATGTGCTAGCACAAAGTCACCGCGCCACACATGTGCGAGCACAAAGTCACCGCGCCACAGATGTGCGAGCACAAAGTCACCGCGCCACAGATGTGCGAGCTACGCCTCCACTCACTGGACAGTGTGTGTGTGTGTGTGTGCGTGTGCGTGTGCGTGTGTGTGTGTGTGTGTGTGTGTGTGTGTGTGTGTGTTGCGTTGTCCTGTGTCGCGTTGTCCTGTGTCGTCTTCTCTCAGGCAATTCTCGGTGGAACCGTGCGCGTGCAAGGTCTGCATGGTCCCATGAAGGTCAAGGTCAGTCTTATAAACTCAGTTTGTGTTTTGTATGCACCCTTGCTGGATCCCGGCGACGCGACTACATAATGATGTCATTATCGTGCCGTATTCCATGTGTGGTTGGTGCATATACCAGTAATTTATACAAAAGAAAAAGGACCGAGGAACTACAAGTTACACTATACTGTCCACTAACACCACCAGTTACTAAACAATCCGCTCATGCGATAACATTGCACGACACTGACCGACGATACTGACGGTACTCTCCATCTGAGTCTATATGCAAGTACATACCAGTAAATACTCAATCTGCGGACAGAACTGTTTCGTCCTTTGTGGGCTCATCAGCGCAGCACAGAGAAAATGAGGCCGAACCTGCTACCAATGAAAATTAATTTTTCCGAAGCCAGATTTCATCAGGCCTAAACGTGCATTGCCAGAGTGCTCAAACTGACAAAACGCAATCAGTCCACCATCATGATACAGTGTCGTTGGTATTAGGCTGGCTACGTGTGGGTGATTTTGAGCACTTGCACCTGATTTAGGGTTTCAGACTTTTCAATGTAGCGCTTTCACTACTGCTGTTTGTTGTCAATGTGGCCCACGCCAAGCTAACGGTCTTGGCAGTACTGGTGCAGTCGGACCTCGCTTATCCGGTCCTCTTTTATCCAGATCCCTCGCCATCCGGACGAAATCGCTGGCTACCAATTTCAGGGCTCACAGCATCACACAAAAGCGTGGGCGCCATTTTGGACAGGCCGCTGTCACACGAGCCAGCCAGCATGCCAGAATCGTGTACATGCGATCAGGCAGATATTTCTGAAAACTTGAAAGTGGGGTGCATTCAAAATGTTCATTTGTACCAATGCTTTTGCCTAGGCCTCTGAAACTCTAGGAACATACTCTCAATACACATTGTAAGGATTTGTCCGAGAGTTTTTTGTTTTAATCGATACGGTTTGGCGTACATATGGAGCCAAAGTATCAGTTGGTGCAGGCGTAATTCTGATTTGGATTATTGCACTAAAATTGAAAAGTCTCTCGGAGAAGTTCTTCTAATTTTCCTACTGAAAATTTTAAGCTATTGGCCATCAAAATCGGGCAAGAGACGGGTACAAACGAACATTTCAAAGGCAACCCTATCTGAGACTGCAGTGCAGCCGCGAGGAAGAACCGCGCGCGCGCGCTGCACTTGTTGTGAATGCGGAAACAACACTAGCAGCAAAGCAATTTTTTGAAATGTTTTTGATACTCGCCTGGCGCTTCATCGCTGTGTCCTCCAGGAGTTATCATGGTTATGGCAGACCGAAGAAATACATGGCCAGCACAACGGCGAAGCCATTGGACTTGTTCTCTTGCCACGAAACGGAGTGGCGAATCAAATAATTCACAACTCCACATCGTCACCACTGCGCTACACGGCTCTTCGCAGACAAGCCGTAAATTTACGTTTACACAACAGGACTTCACGGCGGAGAAACTAAAACTAGAACACGACGTGAGTCATTGCTCCATGCCGTCAAGGAATGCTAGTCGGTAATCCTTTCCCTCTCCCGTCACCCGCGCCTGTGCATCAGCGGCGTAGCTGCCCGGCTGTAGATGTTGAACTCTTTCGTCAACGACTGCAGGATTCTGCTCGGGGCTACTTTTCGCAGGACTCCGTGTGCGGACAGTCTGAATGAAGCCTTCGGCCGATAAGGCCAACACTGCTCGCGAAATAATCCACTTGGAAGGAAACAAGAACTACCGAAATGAAATAGAGATAGTGAGACAGTCTCCGGCCATCTCCTTCACCATTCACGACTCAGTCCTTTTCACAGCAACTAAGCTCAAGCAAGTCAAAATCTCCTTGCGCGACTGCGTTCTACGCCTGCGCTTAGCGGTCACGCGAGTTCGTTTCTATGGTGATCAGATCCAAGATGTCCTCCCACGTAATCGAGGTTTTGGCATGGTTGCTGTGAGCCCTGAATTTACAGCATAATTATGTCATGCATACATACAGTGTGTTCAATTATCCGGTTGCCTATCCGGATATATTTGTGGAAAACGGAGGTGTGCGGTTAAGCGAGGTCTGACTGTATGTGTATGTTGTACGACTTACTCAAGCACCGTCTGGTACACTCAGTCATGCCTGGGCTTTGATTCCGAGTCTGCTTCGTGACTGCTTGTTATTGCTTTTTCTGTACTTTCCCTGTAGATCCCAGGTGGCACGCAGTCTCACCATCGCCTGCGCCTGCCTGGCAAAGGTATTGCACGGCTGAACAACTACGGCACGGGTGATCACTACGTTCACGTCAAGATCCAGATTCCCACGTGAGTGCTGCCGTCACATTGTGCTGCTACTGGTCATCATCAACTAGAACCCATGCTTAGCATCCCCTGTTGTTGTTGGGGGTTGTGCTGGTGGTGGTGGTGGCGGCGGTGCTGGTGGTGGTGGCGGCACTGGTCCTCATCAACTAAAACCCCTGCTTGATGTCCCCTGGTGTTGTTGGTGCTGGTGTTGCAGCGGCAGTAGCAGGATCCCTAGGCCGTGCCCATAGTACTACTGTAGTACACTAAACCTCCCTGCTGCTTGTTGCACGAATATAGACACAACCCAGTACTAGTAATAACCTTATAATACTACATGTACACTCAAGCTCTCTGTTTGTTGCACAAAGCGGATGGTCTGTGGGTCATGTGCTGTATTATAGCCGTTATACTATATTGACTGTACTGCCGTATTTCCGTTTGATAAGCTCATAGAACAACTACAGTTGCGCTCACTGAAATCTGACCCGAAGTGAAAAACTGGCGCCCTGGACAAGTTCCGATCACATCACTGTACAGTATTTGTGCATGCGCACGTCCAGCCGCATTCAAACCACCGCCAGGGCGTCAAGGGCCATGCAAGTTTAGGGCGCCACATATGCAATGTGGGCCAGATTTCACCAAGCACACCAGTACTTGACTGGCGGCTGCTGACGGTAACAGATGCGCAGCGGATTGTTTTGTGCCTCTTAGCCCCATTTCAGTCTTGCTCATCACTTTCTGTATCTCTAAATCTAACTTTCTGTATCTCTGAATCCGTCTGTCTCTCTCTCTGTCTCTCTCTCTCTGTCTCTCTCTCTCTCTCTCTGTCTCTCTCTCTCTCTGTCTCTCTCTCTCTCTCTCTCTCTCTCTCTCTCTCTCTCTCTCTCTCTCTCTCTCTCTCTCTCTCTCTCTCTCTCTCTCTCTCTCTCTCTCTCTCTCTCTCTCTGGCCCTGCAGAAAGCTCACCACAGCTCAGCGCCTACTCATTGAAGAGTTTGATGGAACAACCAAAGAAGTGCCGAAACAACAGGCTCAACAACAACAGACACAGCAGCAGCAACAACAGACTCAACAAGAAGAGAAGCAACAGCAGCAACAACAGACTCAACAAGAAGAGAAGCAACAGCAGCCGTGCGTTTGTCTTCCTCCTATTCTTGTGTTCTTACTGGTGCTCTTTTTTGTGTTTGCAGGCGACAATTGATTTTATAAAGAATTACATGTACTGCACCCAAGCTCGGTAGTGGCTCGTGGTTTGAAGACCGGGTGTAGAAAATCTAGCACTTTTTCATGTTTGCATGAGACGATTGATTCTGGAAAGAAAACCTGCATGTAGTGGTTTGCCGTTTGAAGAGCGAGCGTAGAAAATTCTACATCCACCGCAATATTATATATTCTGTTCTGTTCTGTTGGCTTGATCCTTGCAGAGAGGAGGAGGAGAAGACCAAAGAGGATCCCATCAAATCCACTGCTTGATATAACAACACCAAATGCGCTTCACAAGTTGCTTTTTCAGACCTTTGTATTGCTCTGCAACTCTGCAACTACTTCAAGTATTATTATTTATCACGCTCTTTCCGAGTTCCTGTTGCGTTTCTGCAACTGTACGTCTGTGAACCAACTATTTGCAACAAACGTACCCTCTCTCTCTCTCTCTCTCTCTCTCTCTCTCTCTCTCTCTCTCTCTCTCTCTCTCTCTCTCTCTCTTCTCTCTCTCTCTCTCTCTCTCTCTCTCTCTCTCTCTCTCTCTCTCTCTCTCCCACTTCTGCTAGTGGCAGTTTGAGGGCTGGTGTTGACTTGCTAGCTACAGAGCTGTGCTCTTCTGCCATACTGCTAGTGCTGTGATCTTTTGCCATACTGCTGACTTGCTAGCTGCTCTTCCGCCGTGCAAATACTGCTGCCGTGTGATGGTGCCAATCAGTCTTCCTTAGTTTCAGAAGAAAATATCCCAGCGGTAACGTTCGTCTAACAATGCACACCATACGACTGGATGATGAGTTGAGTTCCTTGATAACTGCGAATGGCAGTCGGGTAAAAGTGCTGGCATAACAGCACTGGATATGCTTGAGTTCTATAAATATAGGCAGAATAAAAAATAAAAGCCATATAGCACGGGATTCACAGCAGCAGCTATTATTATAAAACGAGTAAAAAATAAGATCCTGGAATTCTTTGCGATAACTAACATCAAATTTTAATTCTTTAACTGCACTAGGAGAACATAGTACCGGGGATAAATCTTGAAATCCAACTGATGCAACATTGTTAGTCGTCTAGTCAGTACATGGGGGTTAGATCTGGCACTTGCCATAAGAGGCGCGCATTGAATTTAGCAAGCGGAGAAATCGTACAGCTTCACCGTCTTGTCGTAGGAGCCGGAGACGATGCGCCGGTCGTTGAACTGCAGGCACGTCACGCCGTCCGTGTGGCAGTGCAGCGTCAGTAAGCGCTGCCCTTTGCCGATGGACCAAACCTGCATTGGTACAGCAGCATGCACACGACAGTTTGAGTAAAAAGAACAATAGGATTCAGGAGGAGACTCTCTCGCACCTCTTGATACAGTAGAGTCGCGCGCCCAAGAACGTCTTTTCCAAGGGGTTAGTTAGCCTGGGACGTTCTTCTTTTTCAGCAATCTGGCTGCGTTCTTATGGCACGTTCTTAGAAACAATCCGTACTGGATCGTATGCATCCCACAAGCTGTCAGAAAATCCACACAGCCGTTTTTAGCTTTAGGTTGTGGCGTTCTTCAGCGCGACTCTACTGTAGTAGAGTAAACCTGTGACTAACGACCACCCCTTGTGGCCAGAGAAAGCGGTCTTTAGTGGCAGATGGTCCTTCGGTAGAAATCTAGGAAATTTGTTCCAGCAAGCCATGCAAAAAGGTCAAAAGCTGCACCCTTGATTTCATGTACTCCTGAAAATACCCCGCTAACTCGACACCACGGCAGTGAAGTCGAGATTCAACGCTGCAGCGGAAAGAAAGAAGTGAAGCTCATAGCCAGGAAGATACGGTAATAAAGAATGTGAGTATGTGCGGGCGTGTAGCACTCACCTTCAATGTTTTGTCATCGGCTGCGCTGACAATCTTCCAACTATCTGCCTGCAAGTCACTGTTTAGCAACAGAGAAGAAACACACGCGCGTGCACAGAAGTCGATTTCAGTGAGATCCCGACTAGTATAATCAATGTGGTGTACAGTAGGGAGTACAGTCAACTTTGCGTATAACGACACTCGGCGGGGCATCAGAAAAGTGCCCTTATCGGCGAAGTGTCCTTGGATTGGATTTATTCATAGTGGTGACTATAACAGACAATTACCTAATAACAATAGACCCACTCGAGGGAAAGATGTAAAAAGATAAGAATAATTCATATAATAGACTATGGGATAGGTGATCATGTCCGCGATAGAACGAATGGTTGAGGCAACAGAAGATCCTTATACCTGAAGTCTCATTATAAGTATTACAGTTAGATGGGACTTTGCTCTGGGCACGGACATTTTGTCGTGATTCGCGAATTGTCGTTATATCCGCAGTCGTTGTTAGCGAAGTTGACTGTAGTAAAGTTCCGGGATTTTACTACTCCCTGGCGTATAGTGTACGTTGGTCACATGTATATGTCAGGGAAGTCCTCAGCACAGGCTGCACAACACTGTGAGAATGAGACAGTCATACAGCACATCTGCATGTACATGGTAACAGTTATGGGAAGGCATTGCACACCTACCGAACAACACCACGATGACCTTCCGAGCGAATCCAGTCCAGGGTTTGTATACACTGCACGGCAAAAAAGGCAAGGCAAACGCACCCGCACAAATCAGATTTATTTCATTTACACGTCAGGGGCGTCGGACACGGTACGGTCACTACGGTATTGACCACAGTAAATGCACTGATCTGGGCTCCAAATTTCCAAAAACTTTCAGCTCAGCCACCTCTTCCCCACAGGTAAATTGTACTTCAGGTGGCTGACCGTACCACACTAAAATACTTTCCGACGCCCCTGTACGTGGCAGAGACTTTCTCGAGTGAGTGGTAGGGTGCAGAACATACAAAATGTTTAACAACAAAACAACCCGCAAGTAACGGCACTATCTTCAGACTTAGGGGCCTTCCGTAAATACCGATATTTATTTAGAAACGAAAACTAGTCGTTTCTCTTCAACCCCTGGGGCTGCCCAGCACTCGGTCCCGAGCATGCCAGATAAGGGGACTACCGTATTCTCCAGAGCATAAGCCACACTGGAGCATAAGCTGCACCCAGATTTTTGTCACGAAATGCCTACCCCATTAATTTGACCATTGAAGAAGAAGCCGCACCAACTTTTTTGGGTGAATTAGTGGTGTTTAAAGTGTGGCTTGTACTCCGGAAAATATGGTAATTGTGCACTGAAGCAATGCCAATGTGATTTAGTACACTTACCTGTCCGGTTTCGATGCTCCAGAACTTGATGGCGCAGTCCACCGAGCCACTGATGATCTTCTCGCTGTCAAACTGCAGGCAAGTGACGGCATCTTGGTGGCCCACTAGCGTCATCAGACACTCACCGTCATGCAGCCGCCACACCTGTCCAGTGCACAGCACACACACAACACACACACACAACCACGGGGGACTCGGATGGTGAGCCAAGGAAAAAATTGTAACATGGAAAAATCTGGTTCAGTTGGTGGACTCGATCGCATAACTTGTGCCCACATTTTTCAATGTTTCAATCATGTGGGAATGGGTGTGTCCGCCCAACTACTCTCTACACACAATCATGAAGTGAAAATTAATCAAAATCTTGTCTGCACTAGAACAGGCGACTGGAACAGCAGGTCTGCATGCAAACACCTACAGGGATGAATTTATCCTGTATCGCATCGCAGTTTGCGATGCAAAATCGATCTACTGCTACTCAAAAGTCACCGTGACTCGCAGAAAACTGCGATACATACAGACTATCCATGCCTAGCCTGTGCTGTCAAGTAACATGCAGTGTATGTGGTGCAGGCACTCTCAATCTGCGTGCACATGTATGATTCAGTCGCTTTTTCCAAATGGGCTTTCAGGCATCACTCTCAAGAAGGACAATGTGGTAAACACCCGACCTTCAAAGAAAAATGCTAATCAAAATCAAAGACTGCTACACAATTGTGATTTGTATCACAGAAACTGCTATGCAAAAATATGACAATAAATTCATCCCTGACCTAGATAGATAAGAAGAGGTGTTTCACGCACATATGCGAAAGGAGAGAAAGTACTCTCTTCCTGGTGTGTTCGTGACCTGCTGTTGGTGACTAAACTACACCGCGCAACTGGTCCGCACGGCAAACTTTGTTCATCAAACTGCAAAGGAATTTAAAGTTCTGAGGGAGGGAGAGAGAGAGAGCTTTTCAAGTAGACAGATATTTTGGGTCTCTCGGGCGACCGAATTTCCTACGCTTCGTCAGTAAATGCCCACCACAGTACATACCTTGATGGTGTTATCAGCTGCTCCGGACACGATGCGCTCCTCGTCGTACTGCAGGCAGATAACCGCGCCAGCGTGGCCGTGCAACGTGTTCAAGCACTGACCGCTCTTCAAGTCCCAGACCTTCAGTGACATGTCGTACGACCCACTCACCACCTTGGTGTCATCCACCTGCAGGTGCACGGGACAGTGGGCACAGGTCAGTTGCAACATACTGTAAGTCAGCAGATATTCGGCGCATATTTATTTTCGGCTATTTTCGGCCTGGAACATGTTTGGCCGGAAATTTGTTGCGCCCGAAATTTTGTTTTGCAAGTTTCAGCGCGACAGTGTATACAGGCGGCAGCAGTACAGGCCGAAATGGGTTTTACGAGGCCGAAATTTGAATGGGCTGAAAAATCGTAGACTTACATTATCCATGGAACGTCCCAGTGACAATCACATTGACCAGGGTAATGCCATGTGTAAAACTGTAAACTAGCATTATTTACTACATGTCGGTATGGTATTGACTAGGACAGGTCACAACTCACAGCACGCACGCACGCACATACACACACACGCACATGCAGCACGTACCTTGAGGCAGCGCACGGTGTGCAGGTGACCGATCATCGTGACGCGGCAAGCAGCGCTGCTCCAGCAGCCGCTGGCATCCATGGACAGATCCCACACCTGAACGGAGACAACAGTCACAGGCATGACGAAGAAGAAGATGACAATGCTGCTCATCACTCCAGCAACAGTAGCAACAAGAGCAAGGTGAATGAGGCGCGGGATTAATCATAGCGTATTTCTCTGGATAAAAGTCACACCTGCTTACACTTCTGTGATGTTGTAAATGCGTTGAAAAGGTCTCCGTTGCACGTCCTGAAATCTCGTCACGACTTCGACTCCTTGCCTGTTTTCCTGCTAGCTGTTGCTGCATGCCATTGATTTAGTCTAATTGATTCTGTATTAGGTAACTTCTCTTACCTGTTGGTCTTTGGCCACGAGTGTCGTCTGAGTAATTATGAACATTGCGTGCGTTTGCTAGTAGAGTTCACGATTTGCTAGAGTTACTTACGTGCTTTGTTACTATTCTCCCTGAGTGAAGTTCCGCTGCTGAGTAATCCTACGATGTGTCACTATCTGACAGGGTTTACTCTCACCCATATCGGGTGCAAGCACCCACTGACAGGTGAAACCCTTCGGCTTCCCATACGTCTCTTTCCTCTTTCCTTTCGGATTAATTATTGTAGTTTGAATTTCTATTAATATTTTGTTTATTTATTTTGTGGGTGCGTGCACGAGCCGCTGCCATGTTTCTGCAGTCGTGTATACCGTCATACGCGTATACGGTCATCTCACGCGTGCACGATATCTGGCTTGCCTTATTTGTTGCGTGTTTGGTACGCTGAGTTCGCTTGGGTCGCCGTGTGTGCACCGGTACTGGCACGTTTTGCTGATGACAGCGTTTTGAGTGGTTTTGTTCCTTGGTTGTTTCCTTTGGTGTTTTTCGTTGTTCTCTCAGAGTCGCAATAGCTCTCTTACCCGTATGGTATACCCGTTATGCATAATAATTCTATCATTACTGTAATGTTTATCTATCTAAACTCGTAATGCCCGTGGTGGTTGAGACTGAGAGTGCTTGTGTGCGGTACGCCTGGAAGTCTTGAGTGAGGTATCGTTGAGATACAACGCATACATAAAATTTGGCGACCACGCCAGGATAGTACTGCACTGGAGCGAGGAGCAGGGCCGATGTATTCGGCTGGGAGTGTGGAGGCAACGTTCATTGCGAACGGTAAGGCCTATGGTTATACTGGAGAGAGTCTGCGGAGTTACGTGGAGAGCAGGCGGGTCGAGCATGCCGAGCAGATCCAGAAGAGTGAAGAGCGCAAGGCTCGAATGGAAGAGAGAGACAGTACCAGGCAGCAAACAGAGTTGCTGGACAAGATAACGAAGTTAGAGGCGAAAGTCGAGTTAGCGGCTCAACAAGATGACACAGCGAGCAGTGTGTCTGCGGAGAGCGCTCAGGGGCTGAGAGCCAAACCGATAAAAATTCCGAAATATGATGCAAAGCAGACGGTGGAAAGCTACTTGGAGCTATTTGAAGACGTGGCCAACCAAAATCGGTACGAAGTTGAGGAGCTACTGATACGCCTACGAGTGGCCCTGGCGGGGAGTAAGCTGGAAAGTGCCTGCTATGGTTGTGAAACCTTTGCCGATGCCAAGCGTGAGCTGTTGACGGCATTTGGCAAGACGGCGGACAAAGCCTGGCAAGCCCTCATCGCTAACACCCAGAAGGCAGATGAGAGCTTTTACCAATTTGTCGTGCGAGTAAGTCGGGACACTGAGAAGTGGCGAAAGCTCGCAATGCCAAAGTCTGAGGACAGTCATCGCGGTGGACGCGATGAGAGTGGGCTATTTGCAGCCATGGTACGGCAAGTGATATTGGAGGCGATAGGTCCAGATATGAAAGCATTCATGATCGAAAAAAGGTGCTACGAGAAGGACCTGAAGGCATTCACTGAGGACGGCATGGCCTACCAAACCGCCCATGGCCGTAAGTCACTGAAGGTGAAGTCACCAGAGACGCATTACATCACACCTCAACATAGTGCCCAGTGCTTGGGAGTTTCCGTCGAAGGTGCTGAGAAGGAGCTTGCTACGCTTGCGCCGGTGGAACGCAGATGGTTTGTAGCCAGGGAGAGGCTGTGTTACAATTGTCTGAGAGTGGGCCATCAGGTCAAGGAATGCCAGTCTAAGACAAGGTGCAAATGCGGCTCCAAACACCACCCGCTGCTGCACTGGCCATCCGAAACTAAGCCGCCTAGGGGCACGGACAGCGAGGGTATCAGAACGTATAGCTGTACAACGTCCGCCGGTGTACACCTCATGACTGGAGTGGCAGAGGTGTGTGGATCAAAACGAGCTCGTGTCAGGGTATTCATTGACCCAGGATCGCAGGCTTCGTTTATTTCTGCCTCCCTAGCGTCAGCAATTCGACCATCCTGCCTGAGCACAGACGAAGTCAAGGTCACTGCGTTTGGAACGGAGCCAGTAGTACGGCAACTGGAGCGTCTAGAGGTAGTCTTGACGGGAACCTCGCGGGCAATCACGATCCGAGCATGGAAGAACGACGACATGAGGATGAAGTTCCCCCCAGTTGCAAAGTCCACAATCCAGCAATGGCAAGCCAGTGGAATTGAGCTCAGTGACCAGCCTAGTGAAGGTATACCCAATGAGGTACACTTGTTAATCGGTGCGGATCATTGCAATGAAATTCTCAAGGAGAAGAAGGTGGTCAATGGAGAAACCGCATGGAGCACAGAGATCGGCTGGGTCTTGTGCGGACCTACGAAGAGTTCCGTCCCAGCAGCTACGGTGAGTGTTGGCTGCATTGAGCTTGACCGGCTTTGGCGGATGGAAGAAGTTCCAGAGCGGTCAGCTACAGCGCTACCAGACTTTCTGCTGGAGAGAGAGGGTCCCAGCTACCAAGTTGGCCTTCTGTGGAAGGCAGAGAAGCGCCCACCGGACAACCTTAACCAAACTATGGCAGCCGCGCAAGCATTAGTACAACAGCTACAGCGTAAGGGCAAGCGTCAAGAGTACGACCGCGTGCTCCTTGAAGAGTATGCGCAGCTGGACGCCATCGAGAAGGAGGAGCATCCAGAGGAGCCAGGCTATTACATGCCACACCATGCAGTATTTCGCAGCGACGCTACCACAACCAAGACGAGAGTCGTCTTCAACGCATCAGCGTCGAGATCAGGAGAGCAGTCGCTAAATGACCTGGTGGATCCAGGACCATCCCTTCTGCCAGATTTGGTGGGGCTCTTGCTCCGTTTCCGTGAGTACCCAGTTGCTTTTCAGGCTGATATACGGAAAGCATTCTTTATGATAGGAATGCGGCCGGAGGACAGGCCATACCTCCGGTTTGTCTGGCCGGAGATAGGGCAGGAGCAGATGTGCATTTGGCGCTTGAAGAAGCTGCCTTTTGGGGTGAATTGCTCACCTTTTATTCTGAGTGCTGTTCTGCGCTATCATTTAGATCATGCTTTAGGCTCTGCTTCTGCTGAGGAATGTGCCATTATTAAGCTTCTCTTGCGCAGCTTTTATGTTGATGATTGCGTATCTAGTGTGCCTTGCTCTGCTGATGCTGAAAAGCTGCAGGAATACAGCATGCATATGTTGCAGGGAGCAGGCATGGAGTTGCGGAAATGGCGGGGAAACACGCTTCCATCAGACCCAGAGGCAGGTAGCAAGGCGCTAGGCATCGTGTGGGCGACCGAAGAAGATGTCATCTCAGTTGCTGATCTGGGTAATGTCGATGCCCCAAGTAAGTTTGGCTGGTCCCGTCGTGCGTTGCTGCGCTGCGTCGCTGCAGTGTATGATCCTCTTGGTTGGGCATCACCCGCTATTTTGCCTGGCAAGTTCCTGTTGCAAGAGTGTTGGAAGTTGGGTGGAGGATGGGATGACCCCCTACCAAGCAGTTTGTCCGTGCGTTGTGCCGAATGGTGGGGAGGGCTGGCAGATATCTCTGCAGTTCGCATTCCCAGGTGGCTCGGTTGCCCAGTTGGGAAGCCTGTCTTCTTGCATATGTTTGCAGATGCATCTGAGAAGGGCTATGGCTGTTGTTTGTACGTGGTGACTGGTGTTGTTTCCTCTTTGTTGTTCGCGAAAGCAAAGGTGGCACCTGTGGCTCGGCCTACTCTCGCTCGTCTGGAGTTGCAAGCGGTGTGCCTTGCCGCGAAGGTGCTGTCATTCGTTGTCAGTGAGCTGAGGATTCCGATCGAGCGGATTGTTGGCTGGACCGACAGTCTGACTACTTGGCATTGGATCTCGAAGCCGTCATATCAGTGGAAGACGTATGTCGCTAATCGGGTAGCAGCTGTGCAAGAGGTGTCGCGGAAGTTGCACGTAGAATGGCGTCACTGTCCCGGTGTGAGCAACCCAGCAGATCTTGTGTCCCGCGGTGTTCCGGTGAGTGGCCTTCAGACAGTGATATGGTTGCATGGCCCGCCTTGGTTAAGCGAGGAGTCTGAGTGGCCACAGTCGATTTCGTCTCACAGCACGCAAGAGTCCGTCATTGAAGCACGCGTAGCGGCAGTTAATACAGTCAGGCAGTCAGTTGTTTGGCCATGGGAGAATCTTTCGAAGTGGCAACGGGCTCGTGGAGTTGTCGTGCGGATGCTCCAGTGGAAGGAGCCGGCAACCCGCGCTGAGCTGTTCCCCAAAGCAGAAGCTTTCTTGTACCGGTCCATCCAACAAGAGTGTTTCGCGGAGGAAATCGCTATGCTGAAAGAAGGCAATTCCTTGCCTCCTAGTTCTCGCTTGTACAAGTTGTCACCCTTCCTCGATGACGCTGGGTTGCTGCGGGTCGGCGGCAGGCTGCAGGAAAGTGAGCTAGGATATGACGCTAAGCACCCTATCATCCTAGCGAAACATCGTCTGACCGAGCTCTTGCTGGAGATGGTGCATAAGCAACGATTGCACCAAGGTGTCGAGAGCGTCCTTGCCTTTCTTCAACGCAAGTTTTGGATTCTGTCTGGGCGTCGCCTGCTGAGAAGTGTTACCGAGAGATGCTTTGCTTGCCGTTGGTTCAAGGCCAAAGCAGCAGCCGAGGTGGTGGCGCCCTTACCAGCAGACCGTGTTGAACATCAACAGCCGTTCGGCCTTACAGGCATAGACTACGCCGGTCCTCTTTACGTCCAAACGGGAGAGCGGTCCGCAAAGCGATGGGTCGTGCTCTTTGTATGTGGTACCACTAGAGCAGTTCATCTGGACATGGTGGATAGTCTGTCAACAGAAGCGTTCCTTCTTGTCTATCGCAGATTCGTCGCGCGGCGTGGGAAGCCTTGCAGAATTCGTTCGGACAACGCTACGACGTTCAAGGCTGCCGCGGAGAAGATAGAGGTAGTGTGGAGCTTCAACCCACCCGCAGCACCCTGGTTTGGCGGGTTTTATGAGCGCCTGGTCGCTTGCGTGAAGACACCTCTGAAGAAGGTGTTGGGCAAAGCGCTTCTGAAACCTGAGGAGCTGGCCACAGTCCTGGCGGAGATCGAGGCAGTGGTGAATTCGCGCCCGCTTACGTCCGTATCAACGGACATCGGTGATGACATGGCCTTGACCCCAGCCATGATGATGGGAGATGTCTTTGCACCAGGGGCTCCCGAGGTAGAAGACGGCCTTACAGCTGCACAATTATCGGCCCGGTTCAGTTACATCATCAATGTCAAGGAGCACCTGAGGAAGCGGTGGCGGGAACAGTACTTGGTCGGCCTCAGCAGCTACCAGTCCGCCCAGGCCCGTCCGATCAAGGCTGGCGAGGTTGTCCTGGTTGTTGACGACAAGAAGAAGCGGCACCTTTGGCGCCTCGGTAGAGTGATAGAGCTGTTCGCTGGTCGAGATGGCAAGAGCCGAGTAGCACGGGTGAAGATTGGTAACAGCACCATGCTCCGGGCAATTCCCCGTCTGGTTCCGTTGGAAGTGGCTAGTGAGCCCGAGCAAGTGGCTAGTGAACCGGGGGTGCCAATCGAGCAGCTGGCAAATACTCCCGCGGATGAACAGAGTGATCCCGTCTCAATCCCAGCAAGTCCAGATGTGGGGCAACCGGCTGAGCCACGAGAGTCACCTTGTTTGAGGAGGTCTAGGCGGGCCGTCAGGATCCCAGCTCGTCTTGACTTGTAGTGTGCGAAGACCTTTGGTGGGGAGGATGTTGTAAATGCGTTGAAAAGGTCTCCGTTGCACGTCCTGAAATCTCGTCATGACTTCGACTCCTTGCCTGTTTTCCTGCTAGCTGTTGCTGCATGCCATTGATTTAGTCTAATTGATTCTGTATTAGGTAACTTCTCTTACCTGTTGGTCTTTGGCCACGAGTGTCGTCTGAGTAATTATGAACATTGCGTGCGTTTGCTAGTAGAGTTCACGATTTGCTAGAGTTACTTACGTGCTTTGTTACTATTCTCCCTGAGTGAAGTTCCGCTGCTGAGTAATCCTACGATGTGTCACTATCTGACAGGGTTTACTCTCACCCATATTGGGTGCAAGCACCCACTGACAGGTGAAACCCTTCGGCTTCCCATACGTCTCTTTCCTCTTTCCTTTCGGATTAATTATTGTAGTTTGAATTTCTATTTGTTTATTTATTTTGTGGGTGCGTGCACGAGCCGCTGCCATGTTTCTGCAGTCGTGTATACCGTCATACGGTCATCTCACGCGTGCACGATATCTGGCTT